AGCCCACATCTTCCCTTCACACGTGACAAAAGCACTGGACACTCTTCTTTGCTCTCATAAGCTAACATCACAAGGTAGTGTAGTCATGGGAAAAGTGTGTTTGAAAGAGCCATGTATGTCTCCTGATAATTACCCTGCCAGATTGCATCCAAAACTATTCTCAAACATTGGAGGAGAGTGTGTTTTTTGGTAAGAGAAGCAGAAAAACAAAAATCCCAAATATCTTCTGATAGATTATAAAACAGACTAGTTGATGATTTTTTCTATTTTTTATTTAAATTAGAAACAAGCTTGTTTTACATGCCAATCCCAGTTCCCTCTCCCTCCCCTCCTCCCCCCTGGCACCAAAAACTCCCTATCCTATCCCCTTTCTGCGTCCCAGGGAAGGTGAGACCTTCCATGGGGGATCTTAAACGTCTGTCATCATTTGGAGCAGGGTCTAGGCTGCCCCCATGTGTCTAGGCTGAAAGAGTATCCCTCTATGTGGAATGGGCTCACAAAGTACATTCATACACCAAACACTGATCTACTACCAGAGGCCCCATAGATTGCCCAGACCTCCCCTCCTAACCGACACCCACATTCTGGGGGTCTGGATCAGTCCTATCCTGGTCTCCCAGCTATCAGTCTGGGGTCCATAAGCTTCCCCTTGTTCAAGGCAGCTGTTTCAGGTGGATTTCACTAGCCTGGTCTTGACCCCTTTACTCATCACTCCTCCCTCTCTGTAACTGGATATCAGGAGTTCAGTTCAGTGTATAGCTGTGGGTGTCTGCTTCTGTTTCCATCAGCTACTGGATGAAGGCTCTAGGATGGCATATAAGGTAGTCATCAATCTCATTATCGGGGAAGGGCATTTAAGGTAGCCTCTCCACTATTGCTTAGATTGTTAGTTGGTGTCATCCTTGTAGATCTCTGGATGCCAGATTTCTCTTTAAACCTATAATGGCTCCCTTTATTATGGTATCTCTTATCTTGCTCTCCTCTGATGATTTGTATTTAGAATTCTGGTTTCCATCATGCGTGTTGTATCTTGAGATAATGACACATCATTTCATGCCTAGAATACTCAGTTTTCAAGTTATATTGGCTACTACTTAATATCCTGATAGTATTTTATTGACAATAATCAGCTTGTGAATCCCAAACTTAAGAGATGTTAGTGTATGAAAGAACAGGAAGATATCATAAGTACTAACTTATTAGACTTAATCAAAGTGGTAGCGCAGTGATACAGTAGCCATGTTTACAGTACAAATTCTGTTGGGTATTTCCTTAGTTTTAGGCAACGTACTTTAATTGCAATTAATAGTTAAAGGTATTTGGCAAGGAATGTTTAATTTTTGGTTTTAGATCTGCATTAGCTGCCATTAGCTTTTAGCGTCTACTCTTAAAATAATCTATTGTGATTGTCCATGTTTCCAACTGTTACTTTCTCAGTATGTTGGAATTGCTATGCAACCTTTCATTCAGAAGCCAAATAATCACGGAGGATGAGTGGTGCATGATCCCTTTATGTTCCTTTGGGCTAAAGTGTCTTCATTTCCCCTCTGAGCTGTGAATTCCCACAGCTTTCTGACAGAAAAGGAGTGGCAGCTTGACATTTCTTTCAAGTTGAGTGTTCTGTGGTCAAATTGTGCATTAATTTTGCATTATATGCCATGCCAACCCCAGATAATTTTAGTGTACAAGAAGGATTTCAATTTATATGCCACTAAGAAACTAAAATTCTGTAGGCTTCACTCTCTATTTTTCCTCCAAGACCCCTATTTGAAAAGAACAGCATCAAAACATCCTTTTGAATGCCTTTTCTGATGTGCCTTAAATACACACTGTACAAGAGTCTTGCGTGATACAGTTGGAAGGAGATGCTCTAAGGACAGAGATGTTGGAGGGAAGGAGATCTGGTGTTTGTGACAGAGTGGAAAGATGGGTGGCCAGCTGGTCAGGGAAAATTACTGAATACAAAATGGGAAAAGTCAGAAAAGAGACATACCTGGATTTTATGTGTGTGTGTGTGTGGGGGGGTGGTCCTTAGTAATACACAACACCTCTGTACAATTTTGTAGAATAAGAAACTGAATTTCTCTTCTGGTTCCAGTATCTTAAAGAGAAAGATCCAAAGGAGAAAAGACAGTGTGTGGTTTTTTGGATGGCAGAACAGAAAGAAAACCCTAATCCTAGCTTCTTTAAACAACTAAACCTAACCTTTCTATGTGAGCTCTCATAGCAGTTTGTTTTTCTTTCTCATTAGTTAGTAATTTAACTTGTGTTTGTTTATTTTCTTCTGCCAGTGTGTGTCGTCGCCTGGGTTATCGGGAGATGATGTAGCTGTGTTCTTGTACACTGGTACAAACTGTTTTCTCCCATTGGCCATTGTTCTCTAGAGAGACTGGCTTCTGTTCACCAGAACTGGCACAGTCTGGCCTTTAGGCTTGGATGCCACTTCTCAGACCCATGCAGTAACAGTGGGCTGATTAAAATGCACTCCATAACCTGCTGTAGGAAAAGGCGTGAGAGTATGTTATGCATTCATACCACCAAAATTGATAGCTTCGTGTTTCATTTTTCTCTTACAACTACAAAATATGCCAGTTTGCTCTAAAAATGTTAGATGATCATTTCAAAACTGAGCTTAAAGATTTACAAGTAAAACTCTACAAATGGTCTTAGGTGTAGTCACATCATTAATATAGCTTGTTTGTAAAAGGATTTTTCCATTTTTTAAAAATTCTATCAATGTGCACCCCCTTGCAAAACAGACTCTTGCAGATGTATTTTAAACATGCTCCCTGAGTCTCTATTACAAGATAGTTGTGAGTTATTTATGGTGGTAATAGAAAAATGTAACTGCTTTCCAGATCATTTGATAGCAGTTTATTTGTGATCATTAAATAATAAACAGATTTTCACAATGTGTTCTTCAATCTTAGGAGGGCCAAAAGTCATTCTGATTATCTTCACAGGTGAGAAAATGGGCTGCAGTGCCACTGGTGGGAGGCACTCTGACATTTGTCCCTGCCAGGGTGTTCTTGCATCCCTGGCCCCACATCCCATTTCTAGACTAGATTCTGTCAGTCAGTGTCATGTGGATGGTCATTTCCTTCCCTGTCTGTTCTTTCATGGGTAACAATGAAAGGCAGCTTCACTGTCTGACTGTGTAAATGGAAGAGTGTATGGTTTGCTCCTGAAAGAAGCTGTATGTTGAAGTGGTGAAGGCCACAGACCCTTGAACAAACTACAAATCTACCACCGAACAGCTATGTGACTCGGAAAGGTAGTCACTCTGGCTCTCTGTTTTATAATAGGTAAACTGAGGTAAATCAAAATACCTATCAACTGGAATGTTGGTGTCAACAGAATGAATGATTATGTTCAGAGTAGAATATTACCTGCACAGAATAGGCCCTTCATGTATCCTATTATCTTTACTTAATAATTGCATTTTATAAGTTATAAGTACCTTCAATATTCAGGGTCCCGGGCGGGAGTGCTTCATCCATTATTCTGTCAAGAGAATTATCCAGTTTCAGGGATGCTGTGAATATTTTCCTTTCAGGAAACACATCTCTGACTGACAGGCTCGGCCTGCAGTCTCTGCTTATTGTCTTTGGGGATCTTATTGTCACAGTGTGTAGGAAATGGACCTAGGGGGAAAGTCAAGACTTCAGACCATCGCTGCTTTTGGGTGGCTGTGACTTTGTGCCAGTAGTGGAACCTCACCATGCTCAGACTCATTCTCCTCACAAGAAAGTTTCACCTATACAGCCACCAAGTGTGCTTCTAAAACCCTGGGCTGTGGCTGGGGCGACTGAAGACAGCACATTTTAGCACAAACAAAACAGCACAGCCAGTCAGTCCTTATCATGAGAGGTTGATTTAGCTGCCATTACAACAGGTTAGAATCGGCTACTGATTTTAGAAATTCTAACGAAATCAATATAAAGGCAGTTTTTTTGCAGGTAGTCTATACACACTTTAAGAAAACGGCATTCATAAAAATGAAAGGTTGCATTTCCCATGGATTACTTTGTCACATGGGCTATTGTCTCCTCTCTGAGTGAGTCTGTGCTTAATGCTTCAGCAGTCACTATAGCCCCCACATCTTCCCACATCATCCCTTATTTCAGGGACACACTTGCCCACACTGCTGTGAGAATGGGAAGGAGGAAGTTACTGCCTCTTTTGTCTATGTACCACAGAAATATATTTCCACTTCTGCACGCGTCTGGAGTCCTTCAGGCCCTGAGTCAGATTCAGTGCATGCACTGAAACACTAATAATGTCAAAAAGAAAACTAGTAGGACATTTTTTTTTTTCTGACACATTGATGCAAATGACAGCCAGCATGCACCAGCTACCCTTTTGAGCTTTTTATTTTGACGGATGTGTGGCGCCTTGAGAACTGTCTGTCTGTTAGCCAGATGGGAACATTGTCCTCATAGGCTGAAGTGCACAGATGGACTGTGGATAGGTAAGAGCACCCCAACAGGCACTTGTGTGGATAACTCAATACATTAAAACCAGCACAGCAGGCATGAGGCTGTATGCTTTCCATCACTAGAGGCTTTGAACTGTGCTGCTTAATCTGACAAGCCAGTTTAATTTTCAGTTTTATGGACGAACACCTTTTCTCATCTTCTCCAGAATCTAGAAATCTTGGTCTGACTGAGCAGGAACTGTAACAATGAGCAAAGTCTCAGACCATGGTATGGAAGGTTCAAGTGCCCTCAGTGGGATCACATGAGGTCCCCACTTAGGAATCACAAGGAGCAGCTGCAGACAAGCATGCAGTGAGCTGGGGAGGCTAGATTTGAGGTTCTAGAACTGAAGAGCAAGTCCTCCAATCATGCCTGGAAAGAACTTTGGGTATGTCCCAGGGAAAACGAACACATAGGTCTGGGTCTGGTTCATCCTTTGTCAGCATCTCACAGGAAACAGAGCAATGTTGCTCCTGGGCCTGGTCCATAACCACCTTCTTTGCTCTTTCTACCTGTTTGTAGGGACAAGGAGACCTGCTGAAGAATGCCAAGAATGAAGCGATAGAGAACATGAAGCAGATCCAGCTGGCCTGTTTGTCTTGTGGACTGAGCAAAGGCCCTGGCAGTGGTGCTGAGGCCAAGGGCAAGCGCAGCCTGGAAGCAATAGAGGAGAAGGAAAGTAGTGAGGAGAATGGGAAGCTGTGACTGAGGCAGTGTGCATGCCCTCGACAAGGACTTGAGTTTCTCATTCGTGTCTTTTTGTTCTGTTTTTACATTCTTTAGATGTTCACAGAGATGATGCCCTCTCTGGGGTGTTGTACATAACATACATTTTCACAGTGTCAGTATTTTCCTGTAGTTATTTATGTAAGTTAAAACTTTTAATAGCTGTGCTTGAAAATCTGAGCAGTGAGTGTATACCTATGTGTGGCTGCCTGTGAGCGCGTGCGTGTGTGTGTGTGTGTGTGTGTGTGTGTGTGTGTGTGTGTGGGAGAGAGAGAGAGAGAGAGAGAGAAAGGAAGGGAGAGAGAGAGAGAGAGAGAGAGAGGGAGAGAGAGAGAGGTCCTGTTAAAGTAATTCTCTGTCGCATTATTGGTTTTTCTAAGTTATTCTTTTATCTTTATGATCATTCAGGAACAGCTGATAATCTGAAATTTTAATGAGCACTCATTGTAACCCATTGCTATGCTTAGTTTTACCTTTCTGTCTTTGTCATTTAATTTGGAGATCTTGCTTAGCACAGCCTATTATTGAAGAAAGCCAAATTTATCAATGCAAAGGTGTTTTGTAGATTTTAAATTTAGATTTAAAAATTACAGTTAGAAATGAAAGTGAATAAAAAATTTTCAAATCAGAATTCTGGAAAGATAAACAAATTCATTTCTTCATTTAGCAAAGTCTTTAAAATATTTATTAAATAAAATCAGATTTAGGGTTTAGTTTCTGTAGATGTTTACTAAGCATGTGGTTTCAGTAGCAAAGCTGACCACAGTGAATTTGTAGCCACTAGGCGGTACTCTGAAACACACCAAATGTCTATTGTGACTGGACTGTGATGTGACAGTAACTCAGTTGTGAAATGTCAAGGTTTGCAGGGAGACCTCATTCTTCTGAGGTGATAGTGTGGCATTCATTTTCTAGTACCAGAGGGGACAGATACAAGTCCTTGGCAAGGATTGAATTTAGTGTAGAGTACTAAATTTAAATTTAAAGACATTGTTCAAACAATATCATACCATGTTGTGCTGACATAAATTCTGTAAGTCAGATAACATCTTTATGATGAGTTGAGACCTAACTAATTAGCATGTATGGGATAATTTGAACAAATACAATAAAACACATAAAGAAGAAAATGGCTAATTAGGGTATGTTTATAATTACATCTAGATAATTTTACCCTAATGTCTTCATAAACTTCTTAAATGTAATGTTCATTCATTACCACCAACAGAACTAAGTGTTCTATGGTTATGAAAGAATATATTTATTTAAAACATTGCTTTTATTTTGAAAAGCTTCTTAATTAATTTGATTAACAAATATGCTAATTTGGGGGAGCCTAGAGAAGATAATTGTTGAAATTTTGCAAATATAAACATCCTCTATAGCTATTGTGTTATTTCTGACTTCTTAATACTGCTCTGTTCTTGTTGCACATTAACAAAAGAGTAAAGATATTAAAAACAGATTTCTTGTTTTCTTTTCTTGTGAATTTATTGAAAAAACAAAGTTCTTCTGTTATGTAAAACTGTTAGAGGGTGTACTATTTCCACAGACCAGATATGATAAAATTACTCACTGGGCTAAAACCAGACACTTGAGGGGAGGTGACTGGGTTCATTTGAAGACAAATTTCCAACAGTGCTATGGCCACTAAAAGTATCTCTCTGCCCACTCTATTTTATACTTAACCTGCTGTCAGAGGAATAATGAGAGTTGCTGTGATTCTGTATGGGGAAAGATAAAAACCACCAACAGAAACAAGAGCTACCTTGCATCAGTCAGTTGGAGCCTTCCTCTGTGTCTCCAATTCCATTTGGATCAATCTATGCCTTGCAAGCAATAAAGATGGGTGGTGAAATCATGGAGAATATTGATACTTTATTTGCTTTGCTTTGGGGTCAAATTTAGTCTTTAGAAATAGTCCCTAGTTCATTCTATTCATCCATAAGCTCCATTCATACTTAGTATCTATTTACATCTTCTGGGGGATAGGACTGGGATTTTGTCCCCTCTGATATTCTTTGGGCAGTTGTCAGCACCATTTTATCCATTTCCTGGTACCTCTGCTAGTCAGGAAGTAGAACACAATTCAGGAAGGAGCTTTCGAGTTGCCAAGAGAATGGCCTATGACAGTATTGCCTTTCGATAGACTGGCAAAAGCACAGAGACTGACAAGCTTTGTTGGTGTTCATACACCACATTTTCTACAGCATACAAATGTCTAACGCTATCATAGTCTTGAACCACAGTACAAAAAGCCACTTCTATTTGTTAACTTTTGGTAATGCAAGGAAGTAGTATATTAGTTATCAATTTTTTATATCATGGATGGAATTTGAAGGAAGGATGGATGGTAAGTATAACCACTGACTATGAGAAGTCATAGTCACCAAAGTAGCAAATGGAAAAACCAAATTTGAACTCATATCTGTCTGATACTGTGCACAAGAGTATTTATTCAGTGATTTGAATTTTATTCTCAAATATTTAACTAGATTAATAACACTTCTATTGCCACAAAAAGATATATTGTCTTTCCTTTGAAAATAAAACATTAACAATCAATATGAAATAGACAAGTATATAAAATAAAAACTATCACTGATGAGCATTTTGATTTATATTTTCTCAGACATTGTATGTAAGTGTACATGTCATCTTCATAAAATTGATTTATTTTATTTAGTCTTTGAATGTTTTTCAAAAATGAGTTAGCAATAAAATTTTGAGAAATGAAGAAAATTCTATTAAATTTAGTTTATTACTTTCTTTAAAATCTTGGATATTTTAATAACCGAAGACACCTCCCCTTCCTCACCTTAATACAGAGAGAGAGAGAGAGAGAGAGAGAGAGAGAAAGAGAGAGAGAGGCACACATACATACACACAGAGAGAGACACACACACACAGAGTGCTGCATGGCATCAATTGAAGACACCTCTCTAAAAAGGACACATAACACCCTGTTTGTCAGAGAACCTCTTCACTCATAATCCTATTTCTGATGACAGTGAGCATCTAAGTGATCTTTGGCCCATATAATTTATAATTATTATATTATGTCTTGAGTGTGATATAGCATACTATATTTAGCTAATGTTATTGTTATATTTGCTCTAATTTTGTTTTATTTTTTGAAATGCAAACATTACAGTGATAAACACTATTATAAAGTTATTTAACTTTTCCATTAGAAGAAAATTCTAGAAATGGTGTGGTTGGATCAAAGGATACATAAGTTCTAACATATTTTCAATTTTGAGATAAATTATCAAATAGTCTTAGGAAAACTTCCCAATTTAAGTTTCCACAAAGAATTTATGAGTGCTCAAATGTTTGTTGATGATATATTGTCTTTTTCTAATTTTTCAATGCCAATGCACTATGAAAATTTTTCTCTTTTCTGTTTCTAGAGAAATTTAATAACACAAATATTTTGTTGCTTATTATAGTATTATCAAAATTTTAAAATATGCATATTTGTATTCCAAAGGTCACTAAGAAGAAAAAAAAAGACTCACAGCTTGGATTTGGACTGGGGATCCATAGTATATAGAAACTACTACAACTAAATCCAATGTTAAATGTTAAAAATGGTTGGAGCAACTTAAAAGGCTTCAAATGAGCACATAGGGTGATGTTCAACATCATTAATTCAAAAGCCAAGGATACTCAAAGCCAAGGCACGCCATGGTGTCATACCAGCTAGATGGGCTGTAGTGAGAAAGATCATAACAAGGGCCAGATAGCATGTACAGAACCTGGGATTGTTCTGCACTGATGCAGAGAATAGACAATAGTGCAGCTGCTTTGGAACACTGCTTTATAATTCCTCAAAAAATAAACGTGCTGACCATATGGCCCATAGGTTTATGCTACGAGAAATGAGAACAAATCTATAAAAAGGGTATGCAAATGTTCATAGCACTGTTATTCCATAATAGCCAAAAAGGAGAAACTGTAAAAATGTATGTAACATAAGTTGATTAGAGAGAAAACCCATGTATTAACAAAAATGGATTTTAATAGATTTTATTAGTTTTTTAAAATATGCTTTTTTTTGAAATAGAATTACATCACCTGTCCCACTTACTTTCTTTCCTCTACAGTCTTCCAGGTCCTAAGAAAAGAGAGAATTTCAACAAGCAAGTAGGGTATTTCATTTAGCAGACAAATGAGTACATTCCATGATGATCGTTTAAACACTGCAAATCCAAACAAAAATTCTTATTTTTATTTAAGTCTAACCCTACATGCAACAATAATAGTTAAAGAAGAGATGATGGATTAGGGAAGGGGACCTGGGAGTAATTAGATGGGAGAAGTAAGAGTGGGGTGATGTACATGCTGTGCTCATGTATAAGTTCTTAAAAAATTAAAACTATTAAACAAAAAGTCCGGTCAAATCTTCAGCTTTTTAGTCACCTCCATGACTAGGGTGAGGAATAACCGATTATAATAAGTCAAATAGCAATTCGGCATAACCATTGATGCTGAGCCACTAGACACTGCCCTCTGTTGGGTTAGTGACCATGTGTTAGCTGCTTTCTGTATGGGAAGTCATTGGCTTTATAGGAATTAGTAGGGAGTACTAACGGTGACTTACATTGACAGCAACAGCTAGAAATAAATTCTGAATTGCCATATAAAATTGAATATATGAAGAAATGTTAAAATTTAAAGAGATTACTGATATCAACCAGTTCAGTCATTAATGTTTACTATGTTGAACATTAGTTTGGAGTCTGTTATAATAAACATAACATATTTTTAAATAAGAGGAGGTGAGAAAGAAAAATGAAAGAGCCCCATTTTTTTGTGTTTGGACTATATATCATCCACTCTGGCATACATGACAAAGACACATATGTATATGGTTTACTCAATTTTTCATCAGTATATAATGTGTGTTATATATTGTCAGTTACATCTACTTTTCTTGAATATGTATCAAAGCATATAACTAAAAAGTGAATTCAATATACTATTATGAAATATGAAGTAAAGCTTAAACTATCTTATTACTTTTAATAAGTTATTAATCAATAAGTTGGTTTTAAAAGTAAAAGAAAAAAGCTTCACACAATCTTTTTAATCTGAAAGCATATAACTAAAAAGTGAATTCAATATACTATTATGAAATATGAAGTAAAGCTTAAACTATCTTATTACTTTTAATAAGTTATTAATCAAATCTTCATGTATCATCCAGCTGAATTGTTTATTTTATCAAAATATATTTTAATTATTTATTTTAGTTCTGACATTATTACATCATTTCTCCCTTCCCTTTCCTCCCTCAAAACCCTCACACATACCTCCATCTCCTTGCTCTCTTTCAAATTCATTGTCTTTTTTATTCATTAATTATTGTTACACACACACACACACACACTTACATATTTACTTATTCTTAAATACATAAATACAACTTGCTCAGACTGTATAATGTTACTTATATGTATGTTCAATGTGTAATTAATTGGTGGCCTCCTCCCTGGGGAAGACTATTTCTCCTGGTCAGCATTTGTTAGTTGTCTACAGTTCTTTATGTAGGGTTGAAGTCTCATGAGCACATCTCATCCACATTTCCTTGATGAAGTGTGAGGTCTCCACTTACCTGTGGGTATTATGGCAAATATTTATAATGCAGCTAGGGATTATGCGGGGTTAGTAACATGACAGTTATAGGTTCTCCTTCAAGATCTGTGATGTTACTAGCCCTGGGTAGTTAGCTAGGGTTTCAGGACCAGGAATTGTTTCCTTCTTGTTGAATGGGTCTTAATACCCGTTAGAAGCTGAAGATTGCTTCCAATCATGCCACTTTGGCCATTGTTGTGGTTCATAAGCATCATATCTGGGTAGGACTGATACTTTAATCCCTCCTTTGGAAGCTTTTATGGATTCTTCTAGTCTATGAAAGCTAGTCCTCAGGGAGGAAGAATGCTTTTAGGTCTATCCAACATCAAAGGAATCTGGTCTCTGGGTCTGAAAGTGCATGGTATTTTTAGCAATAGGTACTTACCTTCCACCTCTGGGGGGCAAACAAGGCCAATAGAAAACAGCCTATAGTGAGTGTCTCTGGTAATCTCTTGGACAAGACCAACAAGTCACAAGAAGGCTTCTTCTAATGCCTGGTGTTGGGGTTTTTGTTAGATGGTCTTTAGCTCTTGGGGAAAGAATTGCCAGGTCAGATGGGAAAATTTAATTTAAACTATTTGTGTATATATTTACGTCCAATTACGTGTATTGTAGATATTTTTAGGCAGATGGTAAATAGTACGATTCTGCATGACTTTTCCAGACATCCTTACTATTATTTTGCCCTCCGTTTTCTGTGTTTATCTCTGTCCCCCTCCCTAATTGGAGCCTTCCATTTTTTCCATTTACCCATCAGATAGATTTTACCCTGCTATTTCCCTCCCCACTGCCCCCCAACCTGCAATGGTGCCCTTTACATTCCTGGTTTCACAGAGTTCTCAAAAGAAGAAACAAATCACATAATTTATTTATAAGTATCTCATGAATTAAAGGAGGATCAGAATAAAAATGGAAGTTATTTTGAGTGAAAGTTAAAATTAATTAAATTCAGAAATGGCTTCTAGTTTTCAGAAACTGGAACAACAATTGGAAATTGAATTTAGTAGGGAAAAAATCAGAGCTGAGAGTGATGAAATAACAGCTAACATTGAGTGGGGCAAATGACGAAACCTGAAGTTCGTTCTTTGGAAAAGATCAATAGAATTATAAGTTTCTTATCAAACAGAGATGAGGAGAAAAGAGAAGGCACAAATTTCCAATGTTGAGTGAGAA